TCTATAGGATTTTGGTATCTGGAATACAAAAATGTAGAACTTTTCCTCATTTTCAGTGCCTGGGGGAGGGGGAGAGGGCAAGCCACTTAAGGAAGCGCTTGGTGAGAGTTAAGTCGTTCAAGGGGACAAGGACTCCATTTCCACGGCAGTCACTGTCCTTGGCGTCAGGCACAGCTGAGGTTCTGTGGGTTTATTCAGACGTCTCCTGCAGTGACAGACTGCTGCTGTTGTCTAATGTCCATCCTTTCCTTCTTCCATAGTGCTAGGATTACTAGCTAGCAGGACACAGCCATGGCCATGGCTAACAAAAACTATGTTTCCCAGATTCCTTTGCAGCTAGCCATGTCCATGTGATTAAGTGCTGGCCAATGGGATGTACCTGGAAGTGTCTGCCACCATCCAGGAGCCTTCCTTAAGAAACAGTTGGTGTGTGCCCTTTCTTCTGAGTTGTATTTTTGATCTATAACATAGCAGAAGTTTTAAACCTTTAGTCTAACATCTGAGGGAGTCAGAAAAACATACGCTATTTATCACTTCACAATAGAAATAGTAAGAGTCAACTGGCACATAGTTGCTCTTTAATGTTCAGTTCTTCAAACAGGAAGATGAGACTAGTGTCCCATCCCTGGAGAGGATGCTGGTGGGGGGAGCAGATAATAAGTAAAATCTCAGGTATGGGCAATGAAGAAGAGCTGAGTGGGGTAAGGGGGTTAGTGAGTGACAGGGGTGCCATTTTAGGGTGGCAAGAAAGGGTCCAAGGAGGTGATATTTGAGCAGAGATCTTGATGAAGACAGGAAGGAGCTGTTACAGATAGCTGGGGGGAAAGCATTCCAAAACTCTACAGTGTTTCTGGGAACAGGATAATAGTGTCCTATGACTGGATCAGAGTGTCCCCAGCACTCATACCTTGCATCCACCCCAATACAGCTCCAGCTGTGATGGCTTATAAGATGCCACCAATTTTGCATCCTACTGAGAAACTACTAGCAGATATGTATCTAGATGGCTTTTCCCCCCAGGCATATACATACTCTTTACTATTGAATCAATTTTCATAGAGCCCAACAGAGAGGAATGCATGGAGATGTAGGGTGGGCTCTCTGGCCTTCAATTCTACAAGTTTAGATCCAACTGCCTATTGCCAGCTCCTTGCTTCTTTCCTTCTCTGCCACACCTCTACTCACCAGCCAGAGAGCTCTCCATGGTCTTCAGCATGGAAAGCACACTCACCAAAAATTCCAGTCCAAAAAAGAAAAGGATTGCTTTTCAAGTGAATTCTGTCTACTTAACCTAATTATTAATTCAACAAATATTTACTGAGCACCTAACATGCACCTGCCCTCCAGGACCTCAAGGAAGTGCAGTCTACTAGAAGCTCCGTCATTTACAGGAGTTCCATCCACCTGAGAGACCTGCAGTCTTCCCTGGGGACTTGTTCTAGCAATGCTCCACTATTGCACCTGCCAGGACAGGGTCAGGAGGGCAAGATCTCTCACCAGATGCAGATCCCTCACCAATAGAAACTATGGGAGTAGGTGAGTGGGGAGGGACATGTGTGCAGAAGTAGAGTTGTAAGGTGGGAAAAAGTAGCAATTTACTCAGAGAGATACAGTAGTTTAAATGAAAGATCATTTTTCTGGCTACACAGAAACTATCTAGTGTCTTATTTAAGAGACACCATATACTAGGATGTGGACTTTGCCTCCAAGTTCTATCCAAGGCACTTGGTCTAAGTGGAGTCTAACCACCACTTTACGGTAGTTAACTCCAGGAATTTTCAAAATAGCATAAAAAAAAACCTCGAAAGAACTCATGCAGAACATTTGACCAGAAGCAGAGCATTGTACTGAATTTGTTTTTAAGGGTTTGTTTTTAAGTTAGTTAACTTGAGATAGAAGCCATATAACATCTTTTCAAACCACCGGGTTTGGGGGCTGGTGGCTTTAGTTCGGACTTCCTTCTGCCAAGTCTCACTTTCACGAGTTAGCTGGACTCTGCCCCTCAGGCTGTCCAGTGGATGATACTCCTCCCCATGAGGAACACAAGGGGCCTTTCTTTGGAAGTGGAGCTCAGTAAGCTAATGACTGTACTCTGGGCCAAAACTATCAGAGAGCTGCCTGATTCCAGTCTACACACCATGTGTTTGAGGAAGAATCATGCCTAGCTGCCGCTCCTGAAAAAACAAGTTTTGCCCCCAACAGAGCAGATCACCACCTTCTGACTTTCCTCCTATGGGATACAGTTCATGAAAGCAGAGTCTGATTCAGGGCTGTTATTTTTTCCTTCTAGTTCAGAAATGAGAAAGGAAGGAGACAGTGTTTTCTTGGTAGACCAGAAAGCCCAGCCTTCAGGATACAAGGGTGGTACTGTCGATGACTGGGGGGATGGTCAGGGCTGGGGCTGGGGAAGAGGGAGCAGAAGGCAGATCCAGCTGGGCTAGGATGGCTGGGGTGGGGTGTGAGTGTGTCAAGGCCACAAACATGTGAAGATCTGTATCTCAGCATGATCCCAGAATGAATCAGTTGCTTTACAATGCCCAAGGGGCCATTTCCTAGTTTTACACTAACATGTTATTTTCAAAGACTTTTTAAAGCCATTTTTTCCTTACCTAAAAGCACTGTCACCCATTATTTTCACTTTTAGCCTGTCAATGATCTCTGAGGCATGAAGAGTATCTTTATCTTATAATCAGAAATCACAGTGTAAAAGGTTAATTGCTCTGCCCCCAATCAGTGACAGAGCTCAGTCTGCCCAAGTCTCAGCCCATTCAGGCCAGTGGCTCTTCTAGCCAGGCTGACTTTGGAAAATTCACTTTGTATGGGAGCATGAAAAGATTTATAGCTTTCAATTTCATCCATAGCAGGGTCTGGGATTGTCTGCATGTGACTTCGCTATGAAGCATCTTTGGGGTCTCTGCTGTCTGAGGGGGTCAGGGTCCCGGATGCACACAAGGCTCTTCTCCATCCCTGACTGCTGTATTGGACCCTCCTCACCCTGCCTGAGGGGCCACCCTCTACAGAATCTATAACCTGCCCCCAGGTCAGTGCAGTTCATTCAACGTGGAAATGGAATTACTAATGACCGTCCAGGGATCAAAATAGAGATGTGGCTCAGAGCTACTGCCTAACAATCCTGAAGATCCAGCAGAAAGCCACTGGCATCCCCGGTGAGGTGTGGCAATGTCACTGGGGCCCGAGAAGCACAGGCGCTGACTGTGCAAACCTCTCTCATTCTAAGTGGGCACACAGTCCCCCTCCACCCCGGATCCTTCCCCAAAGCCTTCCTACCAGAGAGCCCAGCCCCCTGCTGCTTAACCTCATGCACTTTTGCCCCCACCCACAGTCAGGGAGCAGCTGTGACTGAAGCCGGCAGGAGGGATGGGTGGACCAGTGGCCTCTCCCGGTCGCTCACAGTGCACCCTGTAGCATCGGGGACAATGTGCTTCTACGTGCAGCGGCCTCACCCCAGCTCACTAAGGAAGACCCCCAAGAGTACATGGAATTGGTTGCGTCATTTTCCTAACACCTTTACTTTTCAGGCAGTCCCCCTGCTGCTGCTGTCCCGTTCTGAGAGTGCTTCCTCCTCCTTGGGCCTAGCCACAAAAGGAAAGCCAGTATGCTTGGCTGCTCAAAAGGTGTCCTTCAAAGAGGAGAATGCAAGCCCTTCCCAAAAGGTAGCTTTAGCCATCGTCAAGTCCTCCTGAACAGCAGCACAGATCAGATTAGTAAAAAACTCAGTGCCTTTATGAAGATGAGACAAGATATGGGGACACACTCTCAGAGACTAAAAGTCACTTCTGAATCCATTCATATGGCTGCTGAGTGCCAAAAAAGGGGCACAGATCTAATCACCCTGGGGGAAAAATGACTGCCAGCTGGAGTGGTCAAGACCAGCTCCAAAAAATAGCAGGTTTAACTAGAGCGAAGTCTCCAGGCAGGGATGGACTGTAGAGGGGGAGGGGGCATCCCCAGAGTGTGATCAGGATGGGCAGGAGATAGCACGCAGAGAGCCCAGCAAGGAGCAGCCTGCACCGGCTAGAGCCCAGGTTCTGGGTGGATAAGGCTAGCTTGAGGCCAGATTGTGGAGGGCTTTAAATGTCAGGCTAAGGAATTTATTAGGGGAAGGAAATGATCAAACAGGTGTTTTAGGAAGATGAATTTGAAGAGAATGTGCAGGATGAACTGGAAAATCTGGAAGCACGGCGACAATTAGAAAGCTGCGAAATTAATTAGGCTGTTGTAGTAGTCCTGTGTGAGTTGATAAGGGTGTAAATGAGCACAGTGGCAGCAGAAATGGAAAGGGACAGCTGCAAGAGACACTGTTAACAAAGAATGGATGAGGTTTGCAGCCTGATTGGACTGGGGACCCAGGGAGCTCAAGGAATCAAAGATGACACCAGAGTTTTGAGCGTGGGCGACTGGTAGTACAATGAACAGAAAAAGGGATGTTAGAAGAGGGAGCTGGTTTCCACAGATGGGAATTCAGTTCCAGACACTGAGAGTCTGCAGGACATCCAAGTGGAAATGTCAGACAGGTCACAGGAAATGTAACACTAGAGCTCAGGAGAGATGTTATGGTTGGTGATGAACTTGAGAACCAAATGCAGAGGGGTGATAAAGGAAGTCGTGGAATGGATAAGATCTCTAAGGAAAAGCATATACAGTGAAGCAGAGGCCCAAAGCCTGACTTCTGAGGAACGCCCACATTAAAGGATTTATATTACAAAGCGGAGATGAGAAGCACCACCCACATGCTCCATGTCATCACCATTAAAATGTCAGTTTAAAGAGGACACCAGTTGGAGGAAGCCAAGCAACACAGCATTTTTATGTCCTAGTAAGAACTAAATTTTAAACACCTAAGTATGCCCCTAAAACAAATTTGGCTGAAGGCTGATATTCACAGAGAAGAAAAGGATAAATGATACCGTGAACATAATCTAGATTAGCGGATTTGATCCCACAAGAATGAGTCAAGCAATGCAAAGAAAAACTTGTGAAAAATATACTATAAATAACATTTAATTAGAGAAAAGTTGATATTTACTCATTTTAACACAAGGACAATTTACCATATTTGCAGTGCACTGTCTTCCTGAAGTGTAAATTCAAGCTAATTCATCAAAGTATTTCTAATAAAAGCTATATTAAAGTATAAGCTGGCTCAAACATTTGTGAGGACAAGTTAACACAGGATAGCTACCCAGAGTACAGGAACCCATACTAAACTCAGTATGCAAATAAAACACCCTTTCTTTTTTAGTGTGTGTCCCTAGTCTTTTGACATGTGTATTTACTGCATATTGTATTTTTTGACAGTCACTTAAAAAATAAAATATTATAACTTTGAATTTTTGGACTAAAAGCTGCCTTAAGTCCTATAAAGAAGAAAAAAAATTTTGTCTTATGTATTCTTAAAGTTTTTCCCATTGCTTTTAATAAAGAATATGCAAATGAATAGTTTAACAGCATAACAATTGTTATTTCATGACACCTTCAATAACTTTTGAAATAGAAGACTTAGATTTTAACATGTTCTTATGTTTAACATGTTTAATTGGTATTTTCTTTTAAAATATGGTAGCAAACATATTTAACATATATCAAAAGCAGTTAAAAAACAGAAACTTCCTTTCCTTTGGAAGTCTAATTTTTAAAAAACAGGAACAACTTTCTGAAAAACGGAATTTACAAATGATACAAAATGGGCTGCATATAAATACGGACATGCAGTGATTCAAGATACCGGTTTCAGCTGTTTCCAGGTGATGGAAGCAGTCTCTAATAGTACGTCAATCCAGAAAACACACGCAGATGCTAGCTAGCCTTAGAGATAATACATATAAGAAAATAAGGATGGAGAGTCAAGAAAAACTTACGAATTTGGTAATTTCTTACTCTCCAGATATTCTGAACATATCTAAAATATTTAAACAGATACGATATCATATGATCTTAAAGGGAACTCTTAAAATAATACAATATTATGGAGTAGTGAAATTGAGTTACTAAAACCAGAGCAGTAGTTTTCTTGACGTCCTCAGCCTCTTAACTAAGACCCAAAAGTTTAATTCTATCAGCTAAATTTAATCCAAGAGTTGACTTTTTAAATGCTAATACTGTCAAACCTCTTTCAATAATATTTTAAATATACACATGAACTAAATACATTACTTAGAAGTTTATCTCATTTCTTTAAATATGGGTTGATTTGCTGAACACTAGGGAAATACAGAGATAAAAAATAAATTAACAATTTGCTTGTTTTTAAGTATTTATACTAAATAACATGAACGAAGAAACAATTTTTGTAGAGAAGAATCAGGTGGATGATTCTTATTTGAGGGTTACAATGAAAAAAGACTCTTAAATTTATTTAATCAAGGCTCAACTGTACTGTTTGGGTCAACAAATCTGAAGGGTTGCAGTTTTGTAGGCAACTGAAAAACCTGAAATGCGATAAAAAACTGAAGGTGATGCCTCTTGGTGTAGAAGATATAGGACATACTTTCACAAGGAAGTTTCGTAATAGCTAAATTTTCATTAAATCTAAAGAGTCTGTAACATAAAGTGTATCTTATTTCAAAAGAGGCAGTGACTCACAGATGCTTAGATTCAACTTCTGATTCAGTCAAAGAAAAGTCCAAATGTTTGGAATTAAATGACCCACTACTCGCCAAAAATCCACAAAATATTCACACCAGATAGACCAAGATTGACTCTCCTATGAAAGAGAAAAAAAAAGTTTTAGTGAACTTGACTGCCAAGCATTTAAGGTCTTTTTTCAAACAACTAAAACAAGAGTCTTCACAAGGAATACTTTTTTTTTTTTTTTTTTAATAAACCAATTTTGTTACTTTATTTATTTATTTTTTTAAAGATTTTATTTATTTATTTTT